TTCAGCATGACTGATGATGTTTCAACCTGTGATGGGTTTCGTCAGAAGTCTGAACTCTTGGGAAAACAACAGCAGAGTAGAGTTCCTTTTCCCATTCATCTTTTTTTTATTCGTCTTTATTTTTCAGCACCTAATAAATGTGAACTTGCCTTCTTTGTATAAAACATGAGGGAAGCTGACTGATATTCTTTGAGCATCACACACTGCAGAGTTGGAGGTTTCACTGCAGAGTGGTTGCAAGGGAGAGAATGGCTGCAGCATCCATTTGCCCCTCCTTCTCTTCTCTCCTCACTTCTTCTGCTCCTGTCAGTTTGTCTCACCTCTTATACATTCAAGGCAGAGTTAACTGGGGCAGTGTGTATGTCCTGCTAAGTGTCTACATATACGTGCTTTTAATGCCAAGAAAATAAGACTGCTGTGCACCACCACAACCTGAAATGTGCATTTCCATGTTCCACTTTAGTCATTTCCTGGGCAGATTAATAAAAGCAAATCTGCACTACAACTTCGAAAATATAATCAACACTCCCTTAACTCCAGCAAAATGAAAGCATCGTGTTTGCAGTAGCAAATGAAAGCTGTTACAGAGTTGGCAGTGGGGAATGTTTGTGCTTGAGGCCTCCTGCATTCCCATAGTCCCAGTGTGTGTGTCAGGATATAAATAGAGCTGCTCCACCACCAGAAAGCGGTGCTATAGGGTGGTTGCGAGTTGTCTCCTCAGTGCAGCCCAACCCAACCTCCAGTCCTGGATGACCCCTCAGTCCCTGGATCACTAGCATATGGAGCCAAAGTTGCAACAATGGACTTGTTGTAAAGCCTCACACATTTTGCTACAGTGTGTGTTACTCTTTGGCTTTGCTGGAGTGGGCGTTTGATGCACATGCACCACAAGCTGAAATCACATGCATTACTTGCAACTGAAAGCACATCAGGATTCTTCAAAGAATCGCTTGAGATTCGGTGTAATTATGCATTGTTTCATTTTCTGCACAGAGATAAAAAAAATCATTCCAGTTACAGGATTTAAAGGCAGAATTCTTTTTATCTTCAGAGCTGCGGCTCAGGTAGTTTCCTGTGTGCATATGAATGATGCAAAAAGATCAAATAGCAATATTAATGACAAGGACCAGCGGGTATATTTCGGTCCAGTGCGTAGAGAGCGGTCTTCAGGGAATAGTCTTGTTCTGCCCTGATACACTTCTGACTGACAGCTTGGCTGCGTCTTCTGGCAATTGTACAGTATGTACCTTTTTGTGTTTGGGAACAAATTAAAAGCAAATAAAGGAGAGAAAGGGTGGGGCATTACAAGATGTGATGTCCTAAACCGTAGGTGTGCTTCAGCTGGCCTAGTGCCAAAGTATCTGGAGCCAGCAGATGCATTCTCATTTTGCTGTAAGTACAGACCTTGCTTGTGCATGCAGGATGTGTCATTTCCTGCAAGTGGATGCTCTTACCTCTTAGTATTCAACATTTTTTACATCATAACAGGCATGTAAATCACTCCTAAAACCCTAAAACTGAGACTCATTTATTTACAGGCTGCAGATTCTCCACAAGAGGGAACTCTCCGGTCATTGTTGTGACCATTTCAACCTGCACCACCTGCTGCAAAGGAAAGTAAGAGCAGCAGCAGTGGCCGAAAAATGCAGCGATTGTCAAAACTGCAGTTCCCTGAATGGCCACTTGAGGTTGGCTCCCCCATATTATACCCAACTTTTCAACAGAAATAAACTTGTTAACAGCCTGGTACAACAATAGTTTTGGTTTCTATCGCTAATTTAGTCATTCATGAAGTCTGTGCAGGGCTGAATCTTTATATACCTCACCCATTTACATTTTATTAAGGCTTAAAGCCATGCATAATTAAGGGCGTAGCAGCTTTAAATGACAGGCTGTCTGTGGATAGTGTCAGTGTGCTCTCAGTCAGACCCCTCTCCTTCACAGCTACAACCTCTTGTCCAAATTAGGTAACTTCTGGCTCCAAAAATCTAAGATGGCGACGGCCAAAAGGTCGAGCTTGTCCACAAACCAATGGGTGATGTCATGGTTGCTACATCTATTACTTGTATACAGTCTATGGATAATACATGCAAAAGTTGAAATGTCACTGGCATCACCTACAGCTATATCAAGTAATTGACCCTTTGCTAAGTCCCGCCCCCAGACACAGACTGGCCAACGTAACATCAGGCTGGCTGAGACCAGGGTCCGACAACAACACAGCTGTGCTCCATTGACTCTAATGCAATCGTTTCAGATTTCCTTCATTTTCAGGCTGGTTTTGAGGATTTGAAGCTAAATGTTGTGCCTGGGGCACGTCGTGTATTAATGATACTCGTTACCTGGAGAGGTTGGAAAAAGACATACGTTTCTTCCCTGTTCCAAAACCAAAATCAAACCCTGAAAAGTGTAGGGTTAGCTAGCTAGCTACTGAAGATATAGCCTACTGAATGTATACACATGCTGCTTTTGCTTTTTAATGATTATAACAGTGAAAAAAAGACCGACCCTGTTGTACAGGAACCAGTGAAGGGAAGAAGGGATTAGCTGATATTCAACCAGCTGTGTGTCATCGCATTGTGTGCAGATGATTGTTGTTTGCCTTTCCCCCAGAGCTCCCAGACAGTCTGGCAGCAGAGGTTTGAACGCTGGCGGTAGCACACGGGCTAAGTCAAACACTGTTCATCTGCACACACTGCGATGCCACACAGCTAGTTCAATATCAGCAAAGTTTCCCTTTATATTCATTGGCTTGTGTGGCGATCAGCAGTGATGTGGTGGTTCACTTTTACACTGTGATCTGTAGCCTAAAGTTCGGCTTTAGCTTCTAACTATCTTTGTCTTTTTAACCTGTTGTTGCTGCTGAGTCAGTTTGACATCCTGGATATATCCTTCAAACACAGACTGTAGACCCCTCTGTCTGCTTCTCTCTGGAATCACTGTTTCATTTTTCAAAAAGTATGATAATATTTCTTCATTGAGTGCAGTTAGTTACAGTGTGGGCTCCATGCTTACTCCGACAGCTTGTCGGACCATCACAAAGAGGCGGGGCTTAACAAAAGGTCAAATGCTCTAACAGTTTAACACTGCCACCTACAAGCTATCAATGTTATAGCTACTTTTTCAACCTACAAAATGTGCATTTAAAATAAATAATACAATTCTCACAGAGGTTTGGGACCAATGGCATGAATAAATCATAAGTGTGAATAATAAGTGTGTTTAAGTGTGTGGGCTAACCCTCTTATTAGAGTAAATGCGCTTTTGTTGTTTTGCTGTTATGTTACTTTCATTATTTTTCTCATTAATTCTTGAACCTTTACAGACACTAATGTGTTATGTTCTGATTTATCACATGCATTTAAATGAGAAGTTATTTTCTGTGTTGTGTGCATTAACTGTTAATGAGGTGGTTGAATATTTAGCCTGAAGGGATAAAGGCCAGCTGATTTCAATATGCTATGTTTCTAATGAGGCTTACAGTTTGTTTGCACAGAAGCAGTGAATATTTTGATTTTTATATATAAAGGTGCAGTTTTATGGTGACCACTGACCGTTATACCATGCTCCTGATTCAAATGTTGTTGTTTAAATGTGCTGTATGGAGGCATCACCTTATTTATAAGGATGATTTGCAGTGCACAAATCGAATAAGGGTGGGGAGTCAGTGTCATTTGGCTCTCAGTTCTTCTGTTGTTGTGTTGTGAGTCTGTTCTGTAATAGGCTTTTCTAGAATACACAGCGCATCATACAAATTGAACAGATTGCATACTTCAGAGCAGGGATTCTGATCTGATCACAATATCTTTTCTTACAATCACATTATGCAAATGAACAGGCACAATTTCTATTCAGCACTGATCCTGAATATGGCAGATTTACACTCAAACCAGCCGACATCCTCAACAGTTACTTTCAATTACTGTACGAGCCCACAGGTAATTGTGTTCTCACAATGTGCATCCAATAAATACCTTACCAGGAGCTGCCTTCCCCTCATCTTTATTCAGGTGGCTCAACTTGATAACATGGATGTCGGCTCAGTGGCTCTGCAGCGAGCGGTGCCTGCATGTCGGATATAATTACACTTCTGTTCAATAAGAATTACAGCTGTTGAATAAAACAAGTGTGTTTTCTTTCAGTTGCCCTAAACATACCCAATTAAATTCCCTCTCCTCAGAGAGAAATATGCTGCCTGTAGCAATAAAACACAATATATTCTGTAGTACTGAGATAAATGCAGAGGCCGAATCACATACATTTTTCATTTTGTTCCAATTTCATGGGCCTATGTATTGTTTTGTGCCAGCTATTGTGCAGTTATACCAAAACCTTTTATATATATATATATACTGCAAATTTTAGAGCTTTGTTGGTCTTCACAGATTCTCATCATAAATCAGTGTCCTTCAACAGCTAACAATGTCCCCTTTTTTATGAAGTGCCACATACAATGAGTCTGATGTGCAAATCATCGCTTCTTGTGCTCAAAAAAAGCACTTCCTATTAATCAGTACGGATATCTGTGAGCCTTTTGTTCACCTCAAACCCCAATTACTGCTCCTCTGTGATGGAGATAATGATGGACCTCCATTTCAGATTTCAAGATGAGACTAAAACAGTGTTTTAAAGTAGCAAGAATTAACCAGCAATCTTTCTTTAAAAAAACAGACCCTACAGATAATCACATTCATTGCTATTTTTCTGCTCTTCTTTCCCATTCATCCAAGCTGTTTTGTGCATGAAAAAACACCTTACAAGTGTCCACATCTCCCAGCCTTGATTGTATTCATTTGTATTCATTAATTCAAGTACACTTCTATGATAAATACATGTTATATAATCACACGTGTTGCTGCAGGGTGACTTCTGAGCACAACCCATACCCATCCCCACACACCCATGACCTACGACTGGATCAGCTAGTTACCATTGGCATTGTACAGCAGTGGCTCTGGATAATTCACAGAGAGAAAGGAAAATAATCCACAAAAGTCAGATTAAATAATAATAAACCAACACTTTATTTAAGACACACTGATATTGTACAGTTCATGGATTCACTTTGTATGCTAAAATGAATTTTACAGAAAACCTTGGTGCCCCGTGGCACTCCTGCGGTAAGTATTGGTATTGTAACATTAAAATACTCACTGGTGCATATGAGTCTACACCACAACAACTGAAGAGATATGTACAGAAACCTTGGATTCCAAAATTTTCCAAACAAGTTACTTTTGTCAGCATAAATAAATCATGTCAGTGTGCTTCCATTTGAAATCCTTGACACAACATTTACTCCCTGAACAGAACTACTTCACCTGGCAGCTTGCACCCTTAAGACAAACTGTATGTGCATGACAAACACTGCTGAAAACAGTCGACGGGTAAAAGCTTTGACATCAATCTTTAACATATCCACAAACAGTCAAACATCTTACAGTAAGAGAGACCCAAGCTTGGCAAAATTCAAGTTCTCCTTTTCCTCAGCAGACAATAAGAACAATTTCAATACTTCACAGTTTACACAAAGGCCAAGACTGGTGGAAAGAAAAAAAACTACAATCCCACTGATCTATAACATACAATATTAAAGATCAGTGAAAAACTCAGATGATGACACACTCGAAGCTAATTTTGCAAGCGGTCATTACACATTGCCACAGGCAGCTCACCTGTACACACTGTTTTAAATAAACTTGTCACCACTAAACTAACAGAGCCAGCAGAGCAGCAAGGAGTGACACTGCACTCTGGTCAGGCCTTGAGTCACACTGTAGCAAACAGCATTAAAAAAATGTTACATTCAAGACTTCATAAAAGGCTGCGACTGTGTCTTGATGTTGCGATGTAGCAGAAAAAGATGAGGTCAGAACTTCAGCTCCACACAGAGACTGAGACATAGTTAAAATTCATAACAAATGCACATCAAAAAAATAATGTAGCGGTGTGCTACACTACACATGTGGGTGTCTATTTGTGCCAAACAGAATATTAAGTGAAATTAAGTACTTCTGTTAAAACATTTTTTTCTCTCAGATACAAATAATTTTTTAAAAATACACAGAGGAGTGCAATGTCAATGTCATATAAACTTGCAAGTGTATATCCACTGGATTAAACTCCAATTATGGAGAGTTTTCCTTGGCTGATGAGCAGATTAAAAACTGATGTGGTAGATTATCGTAACTGGGATGTTTTAGTTGCACTCCTGCTGCTACACTTTAAAGTTTCAAGTTTCCCCAATGCTCCTCTCTGGTGCAGAATTACCTTTAATTATTACTACTAAAATTTTGTAAACCTTCCTCATGTCAAAAATATACATTTCTACATTCAAATTATGTCAATACAGTAAAATAGTTTCTGTTCGACATCTTGAATTTTCTAGCTTAGAGCAGATCATCCACATCAAAAGTATCATTATTTTTCCATTAGAATATCTCATGTTTTACAGGTGAAATCTTTGGAGCCATGTCCCTTTTCTTTCTGAGAAAATTCCAAACGGATATTTTTTTCCTGTACTACTGCCTGGCTCCAGTACATGTGCAAAATGAACTTTCTTTATTGACAGTAAAAAGCAACAGGGCCCGCCAGCCCTCTGTGGTTCCCTTTTTAAGCTACCTCTACTTCCCTTTTCAAACAGTCAAGCACACATTAATCATTCAGACAAATCAATAAATTATAGTGCTTAATATCACACGTGAACAACTCTGAAATAGCACTGCAACGTGTTGAGAAAATACAGATATCTGCAGACGAATACTATCCCTCACAATGAAATGTGTAACAACGTGGAGTCCAAAAAGAATAGTTAACACCTCCGTAAAGATGAGCCAAAAATGCTACCAAACAGACTGTAAAAGTACGCTCGTATGTGCGAAGGAAATAGTTTCTTCCTGATAAACAAAGCCTGCTGTTTTGCAATCTTTGTATTCAGAAATGTCATACTTCCAGGAGATCTTCTTCTGAGCTCAGCCCACTTATTGTTCATACAATGTCTATTCTTTCAGATGCTTTGTCCAGGATTGACTGTGAGTTCTCTTTCAGTCAACCGTGTGACACACATTATGCAATGGAGAAAAAAAGGCCTCTGAAACTTTCAAAAAACTTCTCAAAAGATCAATAGGAGCCAATCCAGCTAGTGTTTCAGAGCATACCTATCAACAAACTTTGATTAGTTTCAACAAGCACTGTTAGAAAACACGTCATGGTACATTCCTGTCAAAGTTACACCTGAAAAAATTTAAGTTCTGAACTCAAATGATGGTTTATGACTTGAGTTGTTCTGTGTTTTAGCTACATTTCGGCTCATCTTTAACAGATGTGCTAATTCTAAATGGTGCTATACTGTACATCTTAAAACATTTACCTGATTATGTATACTCCACACACCTGTCAAGCATTTCTATTTATAAGGTACATACATGTTTATAGACTATTTTGTGACAGACTACAGAAAACTGTCCTATGTTTCAGCTAGATTTAAGAGACCAATTACTTTCTAAAATGTTCCTAAATATGCAATAAAATAGCACAGCTCATAAAGGTGTTCGTCTCCTGTGAGTCATACAGCACAAGGCTTTTCTTTTATTACTGACTTTGTCTTCATAGTCACTGTTAAATTATTCATTTTATCCCTTATTAATTTCTGCTGCGTAGCACTATATTGTCAGTACTGTGGTTTGATAAGTGAAATTGTTTGCTTGATCTGAATAGTCTCAACTAGTTTTACTAAAATTTGCAGGGCTGAGCTTTGCAGAATGCCTACAGCTGATCTACTCCTTCTATCTACTTCTATTCTGGCGTGCATTACTCCCCTACGTTCATGTTTTCATCCTTCATTGGACGTTTGCTCTGTCCGTGTTTACTGGATCATGGGATCGTCATTGGGAGAGACCAGAGTTGGAACGCCAACAAACGGCTGGGGTTTGCCCTCACTGTAAGCCGTGGCTCTGTTGGACACGGTGGTGAAGGACAGGTGGTCGTGCTCCAAAATGGCGAGGCGGTCCTGCGGCTTCTCCTTCTTCAGGTAGAACATCTTCCTCAGCTGCTTCAGCTGCTGCAGCTCGCAGAAGGTCTCCAGCACCACCAGCATGACTATCAGACCCAGGATCAGGTAGACTGAGGAGACAAACACACAGGCAAGGAAGGGATTACAAAAATGGCTCATGAGTAATTAGCTAGAAGTACGATTAAATCTCACCATGGCAAAATCAAGAAACAAGAAATCCCTTTAATATTCCTCAAGATTTAAGTATGTTTTAAAACTTAACAATAAAGTTTTTTCATATGACATAAACCAATTAAGACTAATTAATCTTTTTTTTTTTTTACACAGTAAAACTCATAAAAACATTGTCCTGTAAAAACACTACTAATGTACTTCCTCACTATTGTTCCAAAACCTGTTGTGTATATGCACTGACACAAGAGGGCAGTGGCTAGCTAACCACGGTGACAACAACAGAGTGTGTGCTTTGTAGAGTGGTGAGATGGGAAGAGAAACAGTTTGAGGCAAAGCTGTAAATCCCCCACTGTCATGTAAATGTTTGTTGATTGGTGCCAGGAATTAAATCTTTCACTGGACTGACTTTCACTTGATGCAAGCCAACAGTCTTTGGCAGCATCTGACATGAAAAATCCCCCTGACACTCCCTGGTAACCCCAGGTGGGTCTAGACCGCTGCCAACTATATTAACAGTAATACAATTACTGTATAAGCCCTTTTTGCTATTTATACTACAACTTATATAAATAGTAGGAATATTACACACTATTAGTGGGATGTTGAGTGGCATTTGCAGGAAGTGACATGTATTCTGCATGTTAGGGCTGCACAATACATCATGCTGTTATCATCCTCCTGATGTCAACGCAGAGACCGCGTTATTGCACTCGGGGATTTTTGAGTTAGTTGATTGTAGATACTGAAATTTCTAAATTTAATATAGTACCTCAAAAATATATATCCGAAACCATTTTCAATACCACAGGGAAAACTGACATTATGGGGAATAGGCTACAATTTAAGAACTCTTTTTATGGTTAGTATCAGAGTACACCAGAATGACTAGTAAACATTATGGCTGCACAGTTAATCAAAACATTACTGAAACTGCAATATAGCCAAGTGCAATATCCAAATTGTGGGTGCATTCATTCCTTCATGGGGTAAGAGGCAGGGTACATCCTGGATAGGCCGCCAGACTATCGCAGGGCTGACACATAGAGACAGACAGCCATTCATGCTCACATTTACACCTACGGCAAATTAAGAGTCACCAATTAACCTGACGTGCATGTCTTTGGACTGTGGGAAGAAACCAGAGACCCCAGAGAAACCCACCCTGACACGAGGAGAACATGAAAACTCCGCCCAGAGGGGCTCCCCCACCCCGGGTTCGAAACAGGAAACCTCTTGCTGTGAGGCGCCAATGCTAACCACTGCACCACCATGCCACAATGTGGTGCCATTTTAGGTAAAATTTGTCAGAACATACCATTATAAATGAAGCACTGAGGTGCTACAGAGATACCCCGACCTACAAATCATATACCAGATGTAAGGGAACGTGTTCATTTGGTTGAGACCCCAGTAAAATCACATTATCATCATTTTTATGTTTCATAGAGTGAAAATGGAATGCAAAAAATACCACTAAAATTGCCTCTCACATCGCAATATCTATCAAAATAATTGCAATATGATTTTTTTTTTTTTTTGCATACTGTGTAGCCCTAGAAAACACTAACAATGAGACAAAGTGAGAAAGTACAGCTGGTCTTGATGTATCAATACATCCAGTGTATCAATAAACACATGACAAAGGAGAGAATCAGTAGAAAACTGCACCTAAATGTGGTTTGCTGTTTTTTAGCAGTATACTGAAAGCAACAGAAAGGCACAACTGAGTACAACATAATATCTAATTATTTATCACAAATAATATTTCATATTTTTTCATATTTTGCAGCCTGACTGTATATTGCATTTTTGCATTTAAGCACCAATCTCTTGTTTGGACTCACTTAAGAAGGCAGAACATAATGAATGTGCACAGAATGGCGCTATTGCCTAAATGCAAATTGAAAAAGCAGTGACCACTTATCACCGAGCACACTAGCAAAATCAAGACAAACAAAACACAGCAAGACATGATTTGTTCATTATTTGTGGCCAACTACGTCTTACATATCTGCTCTGAATGTTATTGCAGAGAATGATATCACTTCAGATACCGACATGCAATTTTTGACGGAGGAAGTCGCTCGAATGTGTCTTGTGTTATTTGTGCAAACAAATACATTCTGTCACAGCCTTCTCGCCTCCTACAGACTGACACATTGTTCCTGAATGACGTCTCCCTGGACAAGTGCGCACCACACATCCACACACCTGCCCACACACACACACATTGGAGTAGCATTTGACATTCATGCACACCCACAGCTTGTCAAAAATGCATGAGCTCAAATTGAATTTGACTCTTTCTTTTTTTTTTTTTTTTTTTTTTTAAAAATTCTAGTTACTATTAGCTCTGACAGCGCTGCTGACAGGAAGCTGCACATTCACCCAGAAAATGCAATCAATGCCTTGCTGCTCTCTGTTAGGCCATGGCTCAATTTTTATCTCCTGCACTGCATGATGTTGTCCCTGACTGATTAATAGGCCTTTAACTGAGAGGAAAAATGCACCTTTGTCAGCAGCTTTAAAAAATATCCAAGGTGTGGAGAAGGCTGCTGATATTGCAACTGAACCCTTTTCATTTTTTAGAAGTTTGCATAACATATGCTTCCTGTTGTAACAATTTCAGTAACACTGTGTGAGTAGGGCAGGTTATTTATGACCTCTAATGTCAATATGCTGTGGTGGTTAATTAATTTGTTTATTTTAGTTTTGTAATAGCTGTCTGTTTTGAAATCAGTAGTAATAGTATATCAATAGCAATACACTTCCTACTGTATCTGTCAAATAAACTATAATCACATTATAGTCATGATTTTAGGCAAACTGAGATAAAGTCAGTGCGACCATTTATAACACAAGCTAGATCTGAGACAGCAACCTGTAAGTCAGGCTCAAGCTAAATCTTTTCAACCAGTTTATGAGAAAAAAACTGAATCCTATCTATGTATTTGTTATTTTCAAGCATATGTTTACCATGTTGCATGTAAACAGATCAAAAAAACAGACCCAGCTGATTTTCTCACGCCCAGGTAGATCATGACATGCTATATGTGATACTCTCAAATCAGTAAGTCATTATAACATTAATTATGAGACACTGGGACTATTTAAAGGAGCAGTCTGTAGGATTTAGTGGTATCTTGAGGTGAGGTTGCAGATTGCAAACAACTAAACTAAATACGTTTCAACCCTCCTTTTCCAAGCGTGTAGGGGAACCTACGGTGGCCCTAAGGTTGCATAAAAAGGCAAAAGGCCCTACCTAGAGCCAGTGTTTCCCCCAATCTGTGCTACTGTAGAAACATGACAGTGCTCCATGGAAGAGGACTCCCAACCTTTGTAGATGTAGATATGAAGTGCTCATTCTAAGCTAACAAAAATATAACAATTCTCATTTTCAGGTGATTATACACTAATGAAAACATAATTATGAATATTATATTCCATTGCTGCCAATAGATCCCCCTGAATCCTACCCACTTCTCCTGTAACTTGAACAAATTGAGATTATCACTCTACTATGATACAGAGTGTTGCGCAAATGACATAGAATTTATGGGGCTTTATTTGCTGGATTGCTTTCTGTTCTTCCAGCGCAAACAAAGCAAGCTGTAATATCTCTCTGCAACAGGAAGTGTTAGAGGATATGAGAAATGGGATAATGAAACACAGGCACTAACAGTGCCACTGCTGTGTGCAAGTCACCTTGTCTGTAATATATTTTGGCTCACAGCATGTATATGGTTGGACAGTGATATATAATGTTTATGCTGATTGATATAGTGACATTAGAAATACCTCAAGACAAATGAAAATGGACAGGAAGTGGAATTAATCTGAGCCCTTTCAGCTGCCACCACCTTGCCACGGAAATACAAGCTCCAAATACAAATAATCATCAGCACTCACCAGTGATGCCCACTTTGTAGAGCTCCCTGAACCTCTGATTAGCAGCCTCTCCAGGCACGTAGTCACCCAGGCCAATGGTGCTGAGCGAAATGAAGCAGAAGTAGAAGGACTCCAGGAAGTTCCAGTTCTCCTCCAGCGCTGAGAAGATGGCAGCGGGGATCAGGAAGAAGCAGGAGACGGCCAACGTGGCGAGCAGAGTGGCATGAACGATGGCCACCAGGGGCTTGGACAGGCCCCACCGCCTGTGGATGTACATGATCGGCCTCCGCGTGCTAAACACCATGATCCTTTGCACCACCGCGGTGAGGAAGAGGAGGGTGAAGGGGATGCCAATCACTGAATAGATAATGCAAAATGCCTTCCCACCATCTGACAGTGGTGCTGTGTGGCCATATCCTGTAGGAAAACAAGCAGGACGGAAAATAAATACATGTAAATGCGTGCACTGCATGCCATCTCACCCTAAAGGTTTTGGAGCTCAGCCTATTTCTTGCTTATTTAAACTTTATTTACACAATATAGGATCCTGAGCATACACATTCTTTTAAAGCAACGCCCTGTTTACAGACAAACAAACACTAACTAAATATAGCAGTCATGACACACAATAAAAAAGGTGCAGGCTCAATTGAAGCAGGCGGACAGGTACAAGATGATGACAGAAAAGTCTTGAGGTTATGTCATGTTAATGCGAAGGAGGTGCTGCTGTAGAAACATCACATGTTCTCGTGAGGTGCTGCATACAGGCATGTTAAAAATACCATGGGTCACTCACATGAGCACGCAAATGAGGAAACGGTGGCAGCTTTTCTCGTGATTTGGGTTGTTAAAATCCCCAAGAGTTCACTTTCAACCATCCACTTTCAACTTCTGTTTGGTATTCATTAAATACAATGCAGCTACTTCTCTTTGAATGATACCAATGCACAGCTGCACACTGGTTCCCGTCCATTTTGTCTCTGGTGAGAGTTCAAATTAATGCCATCAGGTGTCAGGTGCTGTGTTTTGTAACTGATGTAACTGCTGTGGAAAAAAACGCGGATTAAACTCTGAGACTGCCACTGATGACAGCAAGACGTTTGAGTCTGAAAACCAGAAAGAGTCAGAGCTCTATCTGATCTACATGTCTGTCATGTATGAGAAGTTTTATGCAGCCAGGAAGCCACTGCTGCACACGTTATCCACATAATCTCGTATGTTGAAACTTCCGAGATAACTGCTGCCGTATGGTCAGACTAAAGTTCTTCAGGTATCCTGCCTGACAAGCTTCAGCAAGCTAAGTCCTTTTGAGCCTAGATAACAGAGGAAAAAAAACACCTGAGTACACTGTTGTGCAAAGCAGCATGGATGCCTTAGGAGAAAATATACAAAACTGTTTGTTTAAAGGCATTGCCTAAATAAAATGTTATTGCCTGGGGGGGGGGGGATGAAGATGATAGTGTTGACACAGACATAAAAGTTTATTGGTTCTGTCCTTGACACTGGATACAGGCCTGTCTGTCAGGGATACAGCAATATACTGTATATTTAGTAAAAAGGCTGGTGATTTAGTCATGTTATATTTATCAAAGGCTGAACTGACTGGAAGGCAATGGTCACTGTGCCAATATAAATGTAAGACATAAACCACAGTTTTGGCCTCTGTAGTAAAATAACCAGGATACATGCACAGTTTTTAATTTGAGGATACAGATGCAACCAGCTTTACAGCCTGGTTGAAATGTTGGGGTATATAGTGTTGTAATATGTATTAATAACTTATCTGTTTGTTAATGTACCCTACAGTTACCACATTTTGAAAGACATATTTAGTTTCCACCACTAGCCTGGTTACATTCAGTAGGCCATAGGTTTGTGTGGCCTAGCAGTGGCTTACAGGTGCCAAAACAGGAGCCCACTTTACAGTAATGCTGGCTGAAACACATGTTATGTCATATTCTGCACACCTGATCAACTGCAGCATCACCTACACTGTCCAGCTTGAGCCTATCATTGTGTGACCAGCACTTACCTGTGGTGGACAGCACTGTGCTCGCAAAAAACAGCGCAGACGTGAAGTCCCAGTTCCAGTTAGCCGATGCGTTATTGAGGATGGAAACCCCGTAATTACTGGCGTCTAGGGCTCTCTTTAGAAACCGCTCCAGACGCTCCTCGGACAGACACTCATTGTCCTGGAGGAACTGTTTTTTAACGGCCCTCAGCTCCTGGCGCAGGAGGTCTTCATAAGGCAGCTCCACCGAGGAGAAGACAACAGCTCCGAATATGAGATACAGGATATACCCCAGGACTAGAGATACAAAATACCATGTCGATTTGTGACTCTGTATCAACCGCACACACGAATTGCTGGCTAGAGACTGAAGCATTTTTCAGCAGGGAGCCTTTATCACTTCCGTTTTAACGCTACGGGTTTTATATAAATATAATACTAAACTAATGTGGTTAATTAAAGCCGCCAAGCGCGTTATATTACCGAAATATATCCCAAAGAGAAGGATGTTGACACGGACAAAGCTTGAATGAGGATTCTCTTCCCCCTCCACGAAACCTGCTGTGGCAGTTGGGGCGTTCAAGTGCAATCGGAAATACCTAAATTGTTCAATGGGAGGACCAGGAGGTTTACGTTTTGGTCGTCGTGGATGGACAAATAGCCTATGTGTGCCAACTTTACAACAAAAAAAACAAAACTTTATATTTAGCCTACAGAAGCACATGCAGCCCTGCTTTTTAGCTCTGTGTAGCCTAAAATATTGATTAGGCTACTTCTTATTCCTGTTTGCATTCAGTTTATTCATTAGCAATTCCTGTCTACCACAAAATTATATACTAATTTTCATTGTGAACTTGCTCTGTGGTTATGTGATCCTGTGGAGCGATGTATGAGGACATGTTTTTGTTTGTCAGTTTGTTTTCTTCTCTTTCCTTCCAGAAATATTTGGTCATTTTTCTTTATGTAGGGGAGTCCACCTCCATATTATGAAAAATATGTGCTTTGTATTCTTGTGTTCCCAGAAAATAATATATGTATGCCATGTACCAAGCCTTTCAAACCAATGCAAACTTGAATTATACAATTTTATTTTTTCATTTATTGTGACTTGCAGCATTTATATCTCCTTTGTTTTAATTGTTTATGTGATTTTCTTTTTTATATATAGCCTATTTAATGAGTGTTGACAAGGGGAGCCTGTAAGATTTTCATAGGCGGTGACTTTTTCTCTGGAATTATTGTGCATATGACAATAAATAACTTGAAACTTTATTCCTCTTTCTCTCTGCTGCTATATCACACTACACTACAATAAATAGATAGGCTAGATAAAAAATAAACATACACACACACACACACACACACACACACACTGGAGTCCAATTTATTTTTCCCCCTCATCTTTTTATTTCAGAAGTGTACAATAATCAGCAGTAGTTATTAATGGGTGAACATATATTACCACAACAGTAGCCTACACTGAGTATCATCTTATCTTCCCATCCCTACCCTCCACCCCAATATTCCTGTGCAAAATATGTATACATACACACATACACATACATGTATCATACACATATACATACAAAAGCAACGAAAAGAAAAATTAAGTAGGCTAATGATATAATATGTCCTGGAGTGTAGTTTCTAAAAATAATAAAACTACAAAACCTTTGTTAACCATAAGTTAAAGGCTCCTGAATTTAGAGTTCTCGTATTTCCGAGCTTCAAGAGATACTGAAGGCAGCAAGTGATGCGGAGGCGACAAAGACGCTGTGACGTCAGAGCTTGCATCTCTCCTCCCAGGTAGTCGGGTCTATTTTGACGTCTTTCGCTTTCTATTCAAAGATGCTGTGAAAACGTCAGAAAGCCATTGTCGCTAGTCTCCTGGCCTGTTATTATGTAACCAGAGATAGTGAAGATGAAACGCCCTGATACACAGAGTATAAAGCAGGTGGTGGACGAGCATGGAGGATGTGTGGAGACAGGTTTATGAACTGACCTTTAAGACGCTTCAGTGTAAACTAGAGTAAAGAGTAAATAATGAATTTGACTTTCTCCTGTGGAGATCTTTATGTTTTATTTAGCAGCATAGTTTTTGTCAGTATGTGAATTCAGCTTACAAATATATATTAACATTTCTGAGATATTTGTAGTTTACTTGATTATTTCCATTGTATACTATTGGTACTTCTACTTCACTACCTTTTGGAGGCCAGTGTTGTATTTTTAACTCCACTATATTCATTTGAGCTTTAATTACCTTGCATATTTATATTATATGATATAATACTGATATAAATCAACTAGGTAACACATTATGACATATTATTAAGATACCCAGCAGTGTATAAAGTGATCAAAATGAGTCCAACCAAGTGATGTACACATTAATGCATCACTAATAATAACCAATTTATATATGGTTCTGAAATGCACCATTCTGCATTATAAATTTAGGTTCATTTTGATGCAAATATGTTTGTATGTAAGTGAGATTTGAATGCAGGACTAACTTATAATAGAGTATTTTTACACTGTTGCTATTTTTGCATAGGTCAAATATCCAAATTCTTCTTCTACTACTGTTTTTTGTGGCAACTGCACATCATAGAGTTTTGATGTGCTAGTCTTGAAATGTTACTGTTTCCTTTTGACAAGTGCTTATTGTAGGCTATGTGGAACTTTGAGTGGGTGTAAAGTTTCCGCCATGAAGAGTTGGTCCAGAAGGCTTCTTGATTAAAAGCAAAAATACTATGTAGGTGTGTTAAAACAACATTTTGAGAAGTCAGAAATGTGAAAATGTGTTTTAATTTTTTTTTTATTATAGCTGAAAGTGTTTCTTTTCATCTCTCAGGAAATGAAGAGATGAAGACCAGCACTAATTGCTGTGTTTTAAATTCCCCTATTCAAAGGTTTGTTTCAGTTTTCACAAGGGAACAGTCAAAACCACAGCACCCACTGAAGATTAAAGTTATCAGTTATAACTGATATAATTAAATTTTAGCTCATATTAACTCTTTTATTATTCCTAGGTGACTTGCTTGTTTTAACTATGTTAAAACAAATTAATTTTATTAGTAAAGCCTTGGGTCTTTGTGTTTATTAGCTTCACATGATAATAACAACAGTACTCCATTATGAAGAAAAAAATCTAATAATAAATCACAAACTGACTTACTCTGGTGGTGTGTTCAGATCATCCAAGAATTGCATTTTAACATCAAAGTAAAATATTAAATAACATAAAATTGATTAGGGGTCAGAATATGTATGACCTTATTGTATTTAATCATCACAAGAGGGTTAATGCATTTAAAATGTATTTCAGCTTTAGTGTGTGCTGTTGTTTTGACTCTTGCCTTGTAAAGACTTAAACAAACCTTTAGATGACTTATACAAAATTGAGAAGTTTAGGTAAACACTCAGCGTTATCAGGGTGACATCAGTTCCTTTTATTTCAGCATGTGTCTGAGTCTTAATCAAATGAAAAATGTTTTAGCTGTATACGTTTAGAGACTGTTTTTGTGCAGGCTGTGTGAAAAGTGGCAACTAACCCAAAGCCCCCCCTTGTGCATCATGCTTAGACCCTATACATTTAATTGAAACAGATATATTTTAGGTTAGATGCAACAGTGCGCCTGTTTAATCAAACTACTGCCTCATTTAGGATTCCATAATTTTAGCGATTTATTGCTAAAACATGCACATGGTTTTAGTTACATCTCAGTGTGACCACATACTATTTTTATGAACAAAAATGTAAACATAAATTGTTACATTTATCTCATAAAAATGCAAACGTTTCTGTAACATAGCCTCAGTGAGGCTGAATAACCAAGTGGGAAGCTATCACAAGACCCAAGACAAGCTGTGGAAGAAGTACTCATGATTTTTACTTTGGTAAAGGTAGTAATACCACATTGTAGCAATACTCTGTTTCAAGTAAAAGTCCCACACTTAAGTAAAAGTACAAAAATAAAGCGTAAAAATAAACTTTAAGTACCAGAAGTAAAAGTAGCCTACTCATTATGCAAAAGGCTGAATAATGCAAATTATATTATTGAATTGTAATTATTAATGCATTAATATGCACATCATTTTGATGTTAGAGCTTTTTTTTAAAACTATATATACTGCTGGGCAGCTTGTCAACATCCCTAAGGGATCAATAAAGCCTTATCTTTATCCATAATAATACATCAGAATTTATCTGGATCTGCAAAGGAACTTAAAGTATCATATAAATAGTGGAATAAAAAGTACAATACTTACCCCTGAATTGCAGTGGTATAATTGTATAAAGTAGCAGAAAAATGAAATACTCAAGTAGAGTACAAGTCCCTCAAGGTTGTAGGTAAAGTGGCCTACTAAATGTGAATAAATGTGCTGTACTGTCCACCACTGCCCAAGACCACCAGGGGCCCCCAGAACCCCCATAATGCATGGGCTGTTGTGATGTTACAGCATCGAAACACTGCATACTATTCACAGAAGGTTACAAACAGGGGGATTCATTCAGGCCCAGCAGCAGGTAAATCTGGTAATGGCTGGTTGCATTCAGTGTTGTGAAAATCCTCATTCATCATATTATAGAAAGAGTGCTGCTGGAGATAACAATGGGCCCCTGACATTATGTCGTATTAGGCCTCCAGTAGTAAGCCACTATTTAAAGCTCTGCAGTAGTACTCTGATGGTGAAGGGCCATCTGAAATAAGTCCCCCTATATTCTCACTGGCAACTACAAACTAGGTTGTCATAAATAATTAACTCAAATTATCCCCAGCAGTCATTTGTAGCATATTAGATTTTCCACTGCACACTATAACAAGTGATTTAAAGTATGATAATTCATCATATCAGTCAAGAGGTGATCATATGATAACTGATTCACTGTGACTGTACGCTGAGGTTTAAAAACAGGCACTGGGCCCCTGCACAGTTATGACCGATGATGACCCATCCGGGTTGCCGTAGTAATGCAAGAGTGTGGCACTCCTCCTCAATGAACGTTGGAAAGATGGCGACGGCATACGCACTAGCGAGAGTCAACTGTGCCGGCGGATAGAAAGTGCTCCAAAGAGACACAAATCCGCCTCTCTTGCAAAGATTTAACGGTGCAAAGTGTGTCTGGTATCGCTTAGACATGGTTGAGCCTATGCACGGCTAGGAACAAGAAGCCACTGCTGTGCCATGGAGCCTCCGGATCGCAACAAGCCCAGCAGGTATGCGAATTTGTTGAACAGACGCTACACCATCAGGACCTCGCACTTGCCAAATAGGGAGCTGAACGTGACACCGCAGTCGGTTCTATGGAAGCGCTTGCATCTCTGAGAAATCGACTTCCTGTCAAATAGTGGTACGCGTGCAGTTACTGCATTTGCAACACTGGAGTTGCAAACTTTTTGGAGCAACATTTTCAGGCGTAGTTTGCTGCAGATATTATCTCCTCGTCTGATTCCCGGTTGCTAGAGAGAAAGGCAAAATGCTCGCCAAATGCTAAGGTAACATTACGGACAGTTATCCGCCGCTGTAGCAGTGCAACATGTCAGGGAACAAGCTAGCTA